CTTTTTTTCTGGCTTATTTCCTAACTACATAATGTCACAACTCCAAATCTATATGTGCATCAAAGTTGTCTCATCTTAGGACCACACATTTATATTAAACTGCCAATGAGGATTCCATCTTCTCTAATAAGCACTTTGTATGTGCAAAACTATAACGAGAGTGGCCACATCTGATGTACTTATTAAGTGCTTTCTCCCCAGAATGAAGTGTTAATACTACTCCCCTTTTTCCAGCAGAGGGGTTTCTCAAATTCAGAGGACTCTGAGCTCATCTTCATTTTTTTGTTTTTTCGAGGGGAAAGGGTGAGTGACAGATGATGAAGGGATTCTAAGAACTGTGGAGTTAAGGGGCTGTATGAAGGTCTTCCAGAGTGAGCAGAGCCAGGAAAAACAACCAGTGGAGGATTTGTATACAGCAGCATGAGGAGTTGATGAAGCTATTGTCTAAAATAACATGGGATTACAGAACAGTATTTTGGTATTGGAAAATAAGGAAATATAAAAGGAAATGGTGATTGATAAGGGGGTGGAAATAGAAGATGTTGTATAATTACCATAATTTCTTAAGTATATCTGCAGGGTTTTGTCAAAGATGTTCATGCCCATTAACAAAAGGTGTGTACCTTCATATATGATACATAAAGCAGGGAAATGACAAAGACCAAATCTGATTACAATCCTTTCTCCCTCTTTAAATAGCAGTTTTTTACTTTGATTTGTTTTGACCCACACATTCATTAAAGCTATGTGTAAGTCACATGGACTTGAGGAGCTCTGTATAAAGAGTGTTATCTTTTACTTATATATTCATAATTTGGATGCTTTGTGTCCATCTCTCTAACTTGTTTTCTATAAAGTAAATTTGCTAGCTAAGCAAATAGCTCAGCAAAAAAAAAAAAAAAAATCTTGTTAAAAAAATAACAAAATGTATTCATCTCCCAGATGAGTCTATATCTATAGATACTTGTAAAATGCAGAAAGTGACTATAAATGGATTGGGAAAGGAATGAGGGGAATGCCTGCAGATGGTTGTGCCACAACCGTTGACTTAAGGTCGTCAGACATTTGTATTTTTTTTTGTCTGACTCCTATTGCATTTATATTAATATTAATGTTAACCCTGGAACTCAGTGACTATGAAACAGTTGAATCCTCTCCCCAATTTATTTTCAGAAGTATTTTCACTAACCTAATAACAGTGTGTCTAAACTAAATGACATCATGTGGTGATAAAATTGTGAATAAAACAGGCATATTGCTAAACTCATAGAACTTACTGGTTGCCTAAAGTGTATTAGAACTTTGAGAATAAAAAACATAACTTAGACTAAATAAAAATTTCTGCATTAAGCAAGTCCCCACCCCCAGCCTTCCATCCTCCCTCTTCTTGGGAGAGGAGTCCTCTTTCCATCAGCAGCTAGCAAGACCAATTTTGCAATCCATCAAAGGCATTCTTGGCAGAGAACTTTGAAAAACAAATCTGATTTAATTCCTCTTTAGTTTTCTCAGACTTCCTATCTAGCTACTGAATTCAGTTCCTTTTTCTCCGGCATATCATTACAAAGTCCTTTCCTAATCACAGCCAGCCTTTGCCTGGCTCATGTTTATGCTCTTTGACCTAACTCCTGTGCTATCCTATCCACTTTTCATATTTTAAGACTTTTTCTAATGTTATCACTATCACTCCATTCCCACTAGAATTAATATTCTTATCCTACCTTTCTCCTATTTTCTGCTCACACATTATAGCAAATCAGCTTGTTTTTCATTCTGTGCCCTTTGTCACATACAGGGCTAAAAGTAGAAGGGAACTTGTCTTTTCATTTTAATCACATTATGATTGCACAGTCCCTACCATATAAGTAACTATCAATATATGTTTGAGCTAAATTTGAAGTGTCCAAAGTCTGAAAATTCAGTCTTGTAGTATAGCTAGATACACAGCTACCTATAATACTAGGTAATACATAATGATCTAACTAAAATTGTATAGATTTCTTGAAGTTATGATCCTGCACAGGCCTCTTCTACATCCTTTATAAAGTTCCGTGCCCTAACTTTTTACTGTGTGCATAATTGCTCTTCACTTGCTTGACTAAATGTAGAAAAGAAGACTCATTCGCAATCTACTAGATTCTACCTCCCATTATTACAAACCATTCTCACTCAACAACCTTAGGGAAAGCAACATGTTCTGACTATTGATGAGAGGTGCTATAGTTATGAAAATCCCATGAGTAAAGAAACTGTACGGTGATAGTAAATAAAACTCCCATTGAAAGCCGTCTAAGATAGATTCTTCAAGCTGGAAGCATTATTTCACTTACGCAGTTTTACTCCAAGATGGTAGCAAAATGGCTATTAAAAAATTGGGAAGAATTTCTATAAGAGATTAACTATTTAAATTCTTGTAAAGACTATCATGTAAAACTTTGTTAAAAGCCTCATCTTTCTTTTTTTGTGTGTGTGGAAAACAAATTTCCTCTAGAAGTATTTGCCTATAAGTGGTTTTTCTTTTTCATTTATATCTGCACTTGATAACTGCATCTAAACTTATAACTTATACATCATAACCAGTTTTTATATATGTAACTATATTCTTAATCATTGAGAATTAATTTTGGTACTGCCTGATAGATAACTTGCAATTGATGGGTTAATTTTATTTACTGTTTTGGGAAGATATTTTTATTTCAAATTAGTGCCTTTTTAAAGATGCTTTTACAGATGCTGGATACATAGTCTAACTTGAATTCTATATGACCATCAATACTGGAAAATAGGTATTAGTCTAAGAAGAGAATATTGAGAGGATGGAAGAACCTAGGGCAGTTTGACACAAACTTTTAATTTTTCCCTCACACCTAAAGTCCTTAAAATGACTGTCTAAAATGACTTTTGAGGTGTTGGATTGCTTTTTTTTTTTTCCTATTTGCAAAAGCAATATTTTAAAATTTTATATGGGGGAAAAGCTGTCATCTAATAATTTGGACATTTAGTAATTATCTCTGAATTTTGTGGTGATTAGTAACTGTAAATTGCTAATTTTTGAAGCTTACTAGAACTCTAACTTAATTTTTTTATATTTGGGAAGACTGAAAGTACTCTAATGCTATAAATAGTTCTGAATGAATGTACTTAAAGAATGTACTAAACAGTCTTAGTCCCTTTCCTTTGATTGTCTTTTTTTTTTTTTACGATTTATTTATTTATGCATAAGAACTGGGGTATAGGACAGAGGTTCAGGGGCGGTGAGAGGCTTTACCAGAGACAGAGTGGGGAGCAGAACAGGCAGATCAACGAAGCACACTGCTGAGGGGAGCAACAGGTGGGCCAGAAGAGGTCTGCTGCACCATGTGCTCACTTCCCAGGGCAGGGATCAAACTCATGCTAAAGTGGCTTTAGCTTCTTAGTGCTGCGCTTTAACCCGCTGTGCCACCAGGGAGGGCCAATTGTCTTTTTTTTTATTAGGCTCTTTAACCCATTCATTTATTGACCCTGACTATATTATCAAAGATTATAATTCTTAAAGGATACATTTTATTTTACTTTTTAATATATTTTTCTTATGTATATTTACATTATTGTTCATTTTATAACAATGTTTCCTCCCCTCCCATCATTCCCATAGCCCCCCACATTTATCCCTTCTCCTAATCTCTCTGTCCCCCTCCCCTGTGGGATCTCTCTGGTTTATACTTGTCTGTTTTTGTATTGTTTTATTGTGTTTTGTATTGTAATAAAAACATACTCCCCCCCCCCAGTCTTACTTGGTTTTCTTAAATTCCTTCTATAAGTGAATCCATTCAATTTTTTCTTTTTCCTTCTGACTTATTTTCACTGAGCATTATTTCACTGAGCAACTCCATCCATGTTGCTGTGAAGGGCATGAGTTTATCTTTTTTGATTGCTGAATAGTATTCCATTCTATACATATACCACATCTTCTTGGTCCATTCATCTAGTTTTAGGCATCCAGGATTTTCCTAAAGGGCTTAGTGTCCTCTTGACTTGGAATACTTAATATTTACTGTCTGACAGGTTGGTTTGTTTTGAATATGGCTTTGAAAGACAAAAAGTTTTTTAAAGTACAGAAGAGTAATACTCTGAAACTAAATTACAGTAATTTATATGGAAGAAATCTCAGCATTTTATTTGCTTATAAACAGAATTGCTAAACATGTTCTAAATATTAATTTATAAGTCATCTATTAGAAAGGGGAACATTTTATTAAAACCTATAACCCATTTGACTAGAGCTAAAGCCTTGGCAGTGAAGGACTTGTTATTTATATAATTAATAAAAATTAACAAGTAGATATATATAATTATTTTTATAGGCAAGTTTATTTTTTTTCCTCCTCCAAGGGAATTAATGTATCTAATTTCCTTCCCTAAGAAATAAGCTCATTATTTTCTTGGGTTACAAAGAGAACTACCATAGAAGAAAAACAAATGAAAAAGAAGACTAGTATGGGGCCCATGACAAAATATTTGTCATTATTGTGTTCCTCTATCAATCTATTCATGTGGGCCATGTGGTATTTTGATGAATTTTTAAAAAGATGCCAAATGAGGTAAAAATGGTCACCCCATTCCTAAGCCTTTTCCTCATAGGTAACTGTATTCCATATGATTATACTTAGAAAAGGGTTAGAGTGATAAATGAAGTGAAGGGTAGAGATTCTATATCTTGAGAGTTGCATCATATCAGCTCTATCAAAACATTAATATAACCTAAAATTTGGCACTGTAATAGTTTAAGAAAATGTGTACTTTCCACTTCACTAAAATGTTATTACTCAAACATATTGGATTCACAAAACAAAAAACCAAGAAGTCGATGTATACTTACCTACATGTGGGAATCCTTGACTGCATAATTTGTTGTACTGGGGACTTGACTGGCACTCTACTCTAAAATTAAAAAAGTGAAAATGACAGTATATTTATTCTTATTCATTGTTCTATACTTACATTTATATATTTTACTTTTACAGCCTGAGGAAGAACTCGATCCTGAAGAGAGGGACAACTTCCTCCAACAGCTCTATAAGTTTATGGAAGACAGAGGTACTTTCATTCTCATTATTAAGTAGTTATTTCTTTTACAGTTTCATGTTCTAGATTATGTATTATTTTTGTTTGGACTACTGGGTGTATGGGCTTGGATTTCAGGTAAAGTCTAAGAACCAATTACAGCTGGCATAATTAAGCCTTTAGAATAAGATGAATTGTTTTAGCAATTTCGAGTAGTATATATAAGAACACAGTTCTAGAATAATTTTGGTTTAGTTTCCTTGAGATTAATAGTATTTCAGAAATAGAAAGTGAATGGTCATCCTGTTACTCTACATACCCACTAATTACTCAAACTGTATTTGCAGCAAGTAAACTAGCCTATTCCTAGTCTGAACAAGTTAAATGCAAGACAACAGTCACTGTGTAAATAGAATAGCATTTCTAGTAGTTTGATGAAAAAGAACCTTTATAAATCAACATAGTACTTGACATTACAGTAGTCCCAGAAAATTCTCAGATTTGTTGATCCTAGACATTCTGTAGCCTTGAGACATCATCCTTCAAGTTACTCAAACAGTCTTTAACATTGTGTTGATCCAGTGAAAGTGGAACCATAGTTCTTTCCATTGTGTTTGTTCTTGCCTAGGCTTTCTTAACCAGTAACATTTTTAGACACAATTTGCAGTTCCAAGTTTAGTTTAACCCAATTCAGTGGCAGGAAGATTGATTTTGTTAGTTATAGAAATATCTCTAAAGATCACCACAAAGCTATAAACATAATATTTGTGTTGGCTTACATAATTTAAGGTTCTTTAAATATATGTCTTGGATTGTTGAAATTTTGGAAATTCAGAGCAGCTTATTTACAGTTTAGTATTATTCATTTGAATAAACATTTTATTTCTACCCTCTGATATTAAAAAGGTACTCCAATCAACAAACCACCTGTTTTGGGCTATAAAGATCTCAATCTCTTCAAACTCTTTAGACTGGTTTATCATCAAGGTGGATGTGACAATGTAAGTAAGGATGTAGTAAAAAGTGAAATCATCTAATAATGCATTGCTCTATGCACTTTAGGTATTAAATAGATTTTCTTAATGAACATTTTAGTGTAAAGATTATTTCCCTTTGTAAATGTTAATAATTAAAAACTTAATTTTCCAGATTGATAGTGGTGCTGTATGGAAGCAAATTTATATGGACCTTGGCATTCCTATTTTGAATTCTGCTGCTTCCTACAATGTAAAAACTGCTTATAGAAAGTAAGTAGTATAGCTTATTCATCCAAGAATACATACTTATAGGGAACATTTTCCATTTAATTTTTAACAAATAAAAATGTCAATCAAGGAAAACATATATAAAAAGCTTTAGGCTAATAGATACTTGTGATTGAAAATTATTTATCTCACTGCACCAAGTCTACTTCATTTTCCATGCTATTCTGAAATCACTTTCAAAGTTAGAGAAGAAAATGCACTATTTATAGTCTGAAATGATAATAGCGGCTCTAAAACTATACCTTTTGTGGTGAACAGTATATCAAAACTCTGATAACTGTGTTCAGTTTTCAGAAGCTCAAGATTTTTCAGGGATTGTATAGTCCTACCTAGAACACGAAGAAATGAATAACAGAAAAAGTATCTTTCAAAAAATGCTTGAATTTCATTTTCAGAAAGTATATGTTTAATAACCAAATGCAGACTTTGAGATATCTTAAGATGAAAATACTGTTTGTTTAGGTATCTCTATGGTTTTGAGGAGTATTGCCGTTCTGCAAATATTCAATTCAGAACTGTTCATCACCATGAACCAAAAGTAAAAGAGGAACAAAAAGACTTAGAAGAATCAATGGAAGAAACTCTAACAGTAGATCAAGAAATGCCTTTAGTAGAAGTGAAGAGTGAACCTGAAGAAAATATTGATTCAAACAGTGAAAGTGACAGAGAAGAAATAGAATTAAAATCACCAAGGGTACGTAGTCTTATCTGGTTAATTTTAAGCATAATTTAAAATTTTTATTATTTTATTATGAATATTTTAATATATAAACAAATGTACTCCAGTGAACTTAGTCTGTTTTCCAGTATATTATTACTGTATTGGATTTAGCCAAGGTATCTTAACTACCTTTTTTGATATAAATCATTGCTTCTACCCAAAACCATTCCTGCTGTGGTTTTCTGTTTCTGTCTAAGTCATTCTCAGTGGGTTCCACCTCCAATATTCACTTTCTTCAAGTTTTCTGCTCAGTGCCACTTTAGTGAAGCTTCTTCCTCCTGGTCACCTAATCTAAAATTGTTCCTGCTTCCTCTCATTGGCACTCCCAGTTCCTCTAATGCTGCTCTTTTTTATCTGTAATTTATTTTGTTTTTAGTTATTATTTTTAATCCCACTTTGCCTAGAATCATAGTGCATGAGGATAGGGACATCTAAAATAGTGCTGGCATTTAAAATAGTGCCTGTTAACATAATAAAGGATTATTAAATAGTTGTTGGATGAATGAATCTTCTCTTTATCATACCCATGCATCTTTTCTTTTTCTGTTTCTCCAGACTTGTGGCAGTTTTTTCATGCTCTGCTTTGCTTTCTTGTTAGCTACACAATGGTTTTATCTTATAATATTGCTTCCTTTCTGTTGTGATATAGTTCTATGCAGGAATTGTCATCCACAATGATCATTGTCAAGATAATACCTGAGTGGTAGGATTTATCAAAATTTAGGAAAAAGGAAATTTTATCACACTGTCAAAGAAGTGCTATGTCTTATTTTTCAGTGAAATCATATTTACCGAAAGGAAAAGTCACCCTTTTATTTGCTAGAAACCAGGTTTTAAAACTGTCCATTCTGAGTTGTGTGTAGTGAATGAAATCTTCTAATGATTTTCATGAAACATCCAAACTGGTTTCTTTTCAATTAAAAATTTTTAGTTTTAGTTTTTAAAAATTATGCTGAAACTTAACACATAAAAAAACTTGGCACATAATATGTGCCATCTTTTCTATTTGTAAGTATACAGTTCAGGTGCAGCTGTAGCCTCTATTAGCATCTGTCTCCAGAACTTTTTTCATCTTACAAAACAAAACTCCCCTCTCCTCTCTTCCCCAGCTTCTGGCCACCACAATTCTACCTGTTTCACCATGAAATTGACTACTCTAGGCACTTCATATAAGTGAAATTACATAATATTTATTCTTTTGTAACTTGCTTATTTCACTGAGTATAATATATTCAAGGTTCACTCGTGTGTGTTTTAATTTTCCTTTTTTTTTAAAACTGAATATCTCCATTATACATAACTGTGATGTATTTCCATGTCATTACATAAAAGCCTTCCTCATTGAATGCAGAATATATGTGGAGTACTGTATAGTGTATCTGTGCCATAAATTTACCTTCTTAATGATTTTCTCTAATTTTCTACTATCGTAAAAAAAGCCACAACAAATTGTTTGTAAAAATACCTTCATTTATCTGTATATAGAGCCAGAAATCTCAAAAATGAGATTTCTACAACAAAGATAGACCTAAATTTTGATATGCTACAGTTGCTTTTATTATTTACTTACAATTAGTTAAATAGTACCTGGCACTACTTAGTTCTTAGTATACAAAAGTGAGTCAGACAAAGTCCTATCCCTCAAATAATTTAAGTTCTAATTCTTAGTGATGTGTGTGTGTGTGTATCAGATATATATATACATATACCCACACACAATCACGTTTCTTCTTTTTCTGCCTTTGAAGTTTTAATAGCACATAAGAAGCAAGCAAGGAAAATATTTGTCATACTGAGATATTGTTTAGTATTCCAATGCTCCCTAAGCTGTAAGCTTTTTTTTTTTTTTTTGGCCTTTATACCAAGTAGAGGGAATTCTGCCAGTGTAAAGGTTGACTTGGTGAGAATTTACAAGATAATAAAAAGCTCACCAGTTTCATGGCTAGTTGAGCATGCAACAAGGGACTGGATAAAAGCTGGTAGGACAAGTGGGCTGCAGGCCCACTGAGCTTCCCACCAAATAGTCATTCAGAAAAATCTGCTCATTATTTGGCCATTGACGCAATTCAGACCTTTCAAAATTTAGTCACAGAGAAATACAATGATAATGTAAACTTGGTGTGAATTGTCACAGATTAGAGACTTACAGAGCTTTAAAAAGTCTATAGCAGAGGGTTAATTTATTATTATTAACTTGTATTACTGAAATTTAGGTAATTCTTTTGAAAAATTTCACCATAATCAAATAATAAAATTGAGATGATAATTTTAGTGATAACAAAGGAGGAAATTTTTATGTTCTATATAGTCAAGGATTATATAGACCTAGACATAATTTACATGGATGATTCTTTTACTTTCAAGAGGAAAGTATGCAGCAGTTAATGGGGTAACAGTGTTATATGTCAATCCAGAGAGAAAAGACTAGTTATTTGCTGTGAAGGTATAGAAAAGACACCTTTTTCCTGCTATTTCCCCGTTGGTAGTAGCTTTTTAAGAGATTTTTATCCCTTCAATTAGGGAAGAAGGAAAATTGCTCGAGATGCAAATTCTATTAAAAAGGAAATTGAAGACGAGAAAACAGAAGACAGATTAAAAGATAATGATACAGAAAATAAGGATGTAGATGATGACTATGAAAGTGCAGAGAAAAAAGAAAATGAGCTACTACTGGGAAGGAAAAATACACCAAAGCAAAAGGAGAAGAAAATGAAAAAGCAGGAGGATTCTGACAAAGACTCAGATGAAGAGGAAGAGAAAAGCCAAGAGAGGTACATTATCTTATATTTGTTCTCCAGAAGCACCTGTCTGGGGTACAGCAGCTCTCTGTTCCTGCTTAGAGATTCAGGTTTGAGGGAATGTTTTCTTATTGGGACTTCCATTCCTCTTGTCTAATGAAGGTGAGACACATTGTGAAGATGATGTGTATCGCCTTTCGGAATTGGAGAATATACTGGTCGCACCATTTTAATAGCACTTGTGCCCTAAACAGTGGCCTCAAAGAAGGCTGCGTCACCCAGTCAAAAGAAAGGTCCTGCAGTTGACAGCAGGGAAGGGAGCTGGAGAAAAATGGAGGAAGTGGACAAGAGGAAACAGCGACAGCAAAAATTCCATTTTAAAAAAGGTACAATGTGGGAAAGCTAACAAACACATGGGTGCACAGTACTAGCCATTGTTTCTGTGTGTTAGCTTCATCTAAGACCTTTTTCTTTTTCAAGTTATTGTATTAGAATAAGTGGCATGCACCCCTGATTCTAGTTTGGAAAATACATTCTTGCCCCACATCACACCAATAATATTAGATTTTTAATGTCCATCCTGTTTGCTGTTGAGTGAGATTGTATTTTTTCCCATGTATTGTACATGTATGAACTGAATGGACTTAAAAATAACCAAAGATTAGGCAGTCTAGCTACAGCAAAGTAATGTGCAACATTACTGTTTTCGTCAGCCATTTCTATATTGTCAATGGATCTACTAATTTAATATATTATTAAAAAATAAAGTTTATATCAACAGCAGCAGCATAACACACTTTTAAGCTTGCCTCCATAGTTTTTTTTTTTTTGGAATATTCTCTGATGCTAAATATTCTAGAAACTTGAGTGGTTAAGCAAAATTTGGGAAAAGTGACCTGCTACATCTAAGTAGTGGCTGCATCCATCTTAAAATTAAACATGGAGAAAATATTTGGAAAAATATAAATGATTGGTGAGTGAGAAAGTAATTTCATGGTACAATACCCATAGATATGTGAGCTGTCACAATTGCATGTGAATTAGACTAGTGAATAAAGAAAATTCTGCAGTGAAACATGATTAGGGTTAGGGAAAGTGGGAGGAAATAATTGGAGTTGAACAGAATGATGTGAGTAGAGCATTATTTAAAATAGTGGGGTAATTTAAAGAAAAGGTGAACCAATTAAAAATAAAACTTAATTGTATTTTAAAGGTTTGTTAAAAATAAACGAAACATGGTAAATGGACGAAGGTAATACGTGGTTTTAACAGCCTTTATAATGGACATGCAAATGGAACTAAAACAGAAAATTTCACAAACAATGTGAATAAAATGTTCCCTTTCATTAAATAAAATTTGAATATACTGACAAACATAGTCTCTCTTCTTATGCTATAGCAGGAATTATGAACATGGGAGACTTCTTTATAGAGCTTTCTGTTTTCAGTAGTTTCTCTCAAAGTGATTTGGAATTACCTTCTCAGGCTACCTTTGGAAGGTACCCTCCAAAAGAAAACATTCTCACTGCAAATGAGTTGTGAAAGCTTCTTTGTATTGGGGCCCATAGTAGTCCCAAAATAATTTCCTATGTTTATTATAAAGCACAATGCCACCACTTAAGCTTGTAGAGCTCTTAAGACACTAGATCTTTGATGAAAATCTCTTCCAAATCCTTATAGGATTAATACAGAATGTTTTATTTGTAAAATGTTAAAAATATTGTTGGATCTCACGATGTACTCTCCATTATACCTGGTTATCAAAACAAAGAAAAGTAAAGAAATAGAAATCAATAAAAGACATGCAAAGCTTTATTCTTCTGGTTCTATCCCAGTTTCAACGTGTGACCCAATATTCAAGTATCTACTGCTTTCTTAGGGCAAGGAATCTTTAAAATATAAACCAGTTTAAAATTTATGATTACTGTGGTAGTAGCCTTTTTTTCTGCCCACCAAAAAAATTAGTCCTGCTCAGAACCATTCCAGATTGAGCAGAAAGTAGCAGTAAAATGTAAGGCAATTTAGTCCAGGAAGTTACAGACTATTTCTAGATCATTTTCACATATAAGATGGCACTTGAGTATGAATCCTGCTCTTTCAGAGCATATTGTTCTTTGTTTTATCAAAAGATTTATTTGATTCCACGTTATCATAAACTATGACTATTGCTTGTTTTTTAAGGAATATGGGTTGATTTTTGGTACAGTGTACCTTTATATAATAAATTTCTTAGTAAATAGCCCATAAAAATCTTCTCCTTCTCCTCCTTCTTCTCCTCCTCCACTGACATGCAATTAAAGTATTACTTAGGTTGTTTTATTCTACTTTTGGCATCTTTTAGCATATATTATTTTGTTCTCCATTAAGTTATCAGTAGCATTATCAATGTGTTATAACTTACTACAGGGAAGAAACTGAAAGCAAATGTGACTCTGAAGGGGAGGAAGATGAGGAAGACATGGAACCTTGCCTAACAGGAACCAAAGTGAAAGTAAAATATGGACGAGGGAAAACGCAGAAAATCTATGAAGCCAGTATTAAAAGCACTGAAATTGATGATGGAGAAGTTCTATATTTGGTACATTATTATGGATGGAATGTCAGGTAAGCAAGAAATGTATCCTTGTACTGCTGAAATTTCTCTCACTGGTTCAAAAGGTCAATTTAATGTTGTAAAGAACTAAAGCAAATAGTATATGTGTGTTTACAAAGTACACCTTGCACCTGATTTTTCCAGGACTCCAGACATTCTCAGTTTGACTAGCTATGTCCATGTTGCAGCCAAAGGTCTCCAGGGTGATACCTGTAGCTCAAGAAGTTGGGTTTACTGTTCATTTGCAAGGAGGGAGAACACAGAGCTGGGGGACTTCACTCAGCAAGAGAGTGCTATAGAAAATCAATGACCACCAACAGTATCACCTGTGGCAACAGCAGTAGCCCAGGATTTTGTGGGAACATCCTGCAGAACATGTACGGGCAGTTGTCAACAATACAAGCATCTGTTTATTATTTATCAGAAATGAAGCTTGTGTCAAGCATTGTAGTAATTCTAATTTGACTGACTAATATTAAAAGAATGTTAGAAAGGAGCCTCCCTGGTGCCATAGGGTTTGGGTCTCTGCACTGTGAAGCTCTCCGCAGCTACTGTAGCATAAGTTCGATCCCAGGCCAAGGAGATGCAGCAGACCTCTCCTCTCTGGCCTACTGCTCCCCTCAGCAGTGTATTTCAGTCAGTCTGTCTGTTCTGCTCCCCCCCACCTCTGTCTCTGGTGAATTCTCTTACCCCTTCACACCTCTGGCCTGTACCCCAGTTCTTGTATGCATAAATCTTTAATGTTAAAAAGGATTTAGATTTGAATTTCTGTCATGATTTTGAGGCGAATTTAAAGAAATGGGGCTTTGCTCTATATTGGATGCTAAAAGAAATGTGGATATTCTGACTGATTATCTTAATGATTATCTTACCTAGAAAAAGAGGACTAGACCAAGGTTAGTGCTATAATTAGTGAAGGAGCAGTAGTCACTTTGTTGGGGAAAAATATGATGTTTATTATTTTTGTGTCTTAGTTATTGTTCTTATTTTTTCTGTTTCTAGATCCATGATTAGGGAGTGGTTTTTTTGGTTTATTTTTAGAGGTTTATTACTCCTTTATTTATTTATTTTTATTACAAAAGTTTATTTTTACATCTAATTACTCATTTATTAATGAATTATATTGTAAAGTCTACATCTACAACTTAATCTGGAAGAAATGCTTTGCTTTTACACCAAAGACACATTTATTATAGTAGAATAAAACAGACACAGACAAAAGACCAAGTACACGTTAAAAAAAATAAAAGACTACATGTTTAATCTGGTCTCACTTTTGCTATTTTGAAGCATACCTTTCCTATGGGAGTGGTTTATTTCTTAACCTATCGTGGTCACTGAGTGAACTTGTCTAATGTTCTGTGAAGGTGTTCAAGTTCAAAAGGAGAGTAACACAACATATCTGTGTGTGCCCACTCAGCTCAGTAACCATAGGAAGGCCCAGGTGATAGTGCCAGACCAACTCCTGAATGTCAGAGACTGAATTTTTCTGTCTTTCACAAGTCTTATGTGTTTAATACCTCTGCCTGGCTTGTATTTGCTTGGAACTAGTGTAAGCAAGGTTTTTCAACATACTAGAGATGCAAAATGTATGCCTCAATTCCGTCATTGCTATGTTTATGGAAAAAAGGTATGTACTCTATAGAGAAATAGTGGTAAAACCTATGTTAACATGCAGAGTGGTTAGAAACCACTTAGTGTTCCACAAACATGAACCATTTTCTTGAGTGAGGGAGGATTTGGTTTCTCCCATATCACTATTGCTCTGAATGTATATACATTGTTGAATTCTGGAAGAAAGAATTACACTTACCAACTTTGAGTCATTATATTTGCAGTTAAAGCACGTGTTAGCCTTTTTCGCCCATTAGAATCGATTCAGTTCACAACCCTCCAGTCTTCCATTTTTGTGTATCTTTTCTGCTTTCTGAAATTTCCCCATTCTACCATATTTTGCCCATTTTCACATGTTTTACTATATAACTCTTTTCAACATTTGTCTTATTATAGCTTCACACTCTTCCTAACTGGTTACTCAGTGGCTCATGACTTTTCCACTACCTGTGCATACTCCTAAAAGCTGGTAATTCTGTCCTGCTCTTTAAGAGAGTCCCTATAGTTCCTAGAGAACCTATTTGAACTTCTGAAACAGGGAGCATGTTTAACTGTGAGGGGAATCCTAGAATAACCCTATTTGGCTACATTTATGCTGGAAGTACCCTAACGCTAAGCTGCGGTCACCAGACTAGTG